GTGTGCCACCACACCCATGTTCCTTCTCACGGACAGCCACAGTGGGGCCAGCAGGGGGAAGCTGCCACGCTTTCCTTGCCAGCCCCACTGTGCGGGCAAGGGGACTCTCAGACAAGTGACGATCCAGGGCAGAGGCCCACTGGCATTTCCCCCAATAAAGTAAATATACAATCCTCTTCTGTTTGGATACATAGCAGGGGGCAATGGGGGACCAGGGCCACAGACCAAAGACCTGACGATTGCTTTTGCATCATGCCAGGAGCTCCTTATTGGTTTAAAATAAAGCAATATCGATGTTCCTGCTCCTCTCAATTCAGCGTGCGTGTCGTTTTGTTGCAAATTCTACTCTCTTCCTACAGGATTTATTATTTTCCAACGAGGAAACATCCCAGTCTATCAACTCAAGCTTCTTCAGCGATTAAACAGAAGAAAACAACTTCCTAAAGGTCTCTCACCTCATTCCGTTTCTCATCTCCTCATTAAGAGGTAAGATATAATTTGAGTAAAAAGACTGACTGCAGTTGTTGACTCAAAGAAAAACAAGATAGGTAAAAAGAGATTGTCTCAAGCTTCTTCAGCGATTAAACAGAAGAAAACAACTTCCTAAAGGTCTCTCACCTCATTCCGTTTCTCATCTCCTCATTAAGAGGTAAGAGGTAATTTGAGTAAAAAGACTGACTGCAGTTGTTGACTCAAAGAAAAACAAGATAGGTAAAAAGAGATTCCCAGAGACCAAAATTCACATCCGAACAGCAGGCTTGAGCTTCCTCTTTAAGGAACCCACCTGAGATTCATCTTGTTAAATAGTTACATATTAGATGTGAACTTCTTCCAAACCAAGGTAGAGCTATTTAAAGAGGCAAGAGCGAGTGGGCTAGAAGCTGTAGAAAATAAAACGAGTCTAGTGCTTTACAACAGAAGCAACCTATTTGGGACCAACTTGAAGTTTCAGAATTTTTTAAAAAACAGATTTTTAGGGAAGGAGCAGGAGCATTTTTCTTCTCCCATCTTCACCATAATGATTCTGGAAGTGCCCAGAACTGGATTTCAGTAACTCATGGTAATTCCTAGACTGTTGCAAAATTATGAGGACACAGTAATTTATATCAGTTTTTAGTTTAATTCTTTCTCTTCTCACTCCAGATTTGCTTGCAAAAATATGTTGGCAGCTTAAGACAGCCGTATCCACAGATTTGTTAAAATTAATGCAATCTGGACCTCATTAGTTGTAATAGCGCCCTAAAACCATGTAAACCAACCCTCATTCCCATGCAAGTTAATACTGAATTATATCAATATAGTCTTAGTAAAGATTGTGTTGTGTGACTTGCCTATTTGAGTACATTCAGATATCAAATTTAATGAGAAGTACCATAAAGTAAATATAATACATTGATTCATCTTAGAAACTAGATTTATGTCTTGCTACCCTGTGCTGTCTGCTTATACAGAACTTCAGCAGTTATGGGAATCATAATAACAAAGGCAGGGAAAGGACTGGACACCAAAAGGCATTTGCGAAGATGAATTTGGAACATGTATGAAGATCCACGGGTATCCAGCATGGAAGAGAATGTTGTGCATTGTGCCTGCAGGATCACTTATGGCTTCTACTGTAGGGACAGGACTAGAGATGTGAAGGCCTGGAAAAAAAACTGGAAAAATTCGGGGGGGAAATTTCCCCTCGTTTTTTTCCTGAAGCCTTTTTTGTTTTTTTCCGAAAAATTGGAAAAATTGAAAAAAGAAAAGAAAAGAAAAGAAAATTGATTATGGAACATAAGACAAGGTGTTCAAATATTTTCCGAATTATTTCTAAAAAAATATGTATGGTATCAGATTGATCTAATTTCTGTGCACTGAGGACAAGCAAGTCCTAGGTTACAAACTGAACTCTCCAATGCAAGAACAAGATGCATTTCTTCCTTTAGGAGGTGCTATTGTCACAAGAAAAGAAAAAGGTTACAGTTTTGTTTTTGCATGTGGGTGGGTATTCTGTTTGTAATAATTGTTTGGGTATATATTTGTAATATGCTAGCTGTGATAATTTCATG